GGGGCGGGTCCTCTAAGGCCTCGTCCTAAAAACCGCCTTATCCATTAGAATTCCAGCATTCCGCAAACGGGGGCTGGCAGCGTTGAGTTTCATAAGCAAACAAACTTGGGAGTTCATCCATTCTTCCGTGAGCTGGCTTCGCCTTATTTTCGTGACCCCTCTCTTCAGTAAACCCTAAACGCTCCTCAGGCACACAAAATGGAAGCCAAATGGAAAGGCTGGATTCATACCGACGGCATAAAGCTAAAGTTTTCAGTTGCAAAGGCAAAATATTTTCGAAAAATCTGACAAGCAATCAGCATAGACACCGCATTTGCTAAAAACGTATTGAAATCACTTGCCTTCGTGTATTTTCTCTGTACAATGACGATCTAATACGTATTTAGATTTCTCAGCAAATCAAAGAAGTTATGGCTGAGTAAAATCACGAGAGAAAAACAGTAGTCCTGCATGTAAGACTAAGTTGTTCTAATTTACCAGGTGAACTGTATTTGGTTTTATGCATTTCAAGAAAGACTTGCAGTTAGGATAATCTGCAGCCACACTCAGACTCCACAGTTTTGAAAAAAATGAGTGCAGAACTCATTTCAGTTGATTTAAGTGATAACATTTGGGATCTGAAACCAGAAAACCAGTTAGGTATTTTTTGCAACTAAATAAAAACTAGACAAAACATGGCAGCTGATGACACACCGCTGCACGTAGGAGAACCGAGAGTGACACGTGGGTAAAGGACAACCTTTGTCCGGTTAACACTGGTTCTGCATCTCACACTTCAATTTGATTATTCATTTTGAACTCCTCACAATAAAAAGCTTTTGAGAACTGGAGGGGGGAACAAAAAAAAAAAAAATCAGTCTTTCTTCATATTTGCTTTGGGACTTAGATGTAAACATATTTAAAAATACACACACTTTTCAAGCCATACTGGCTGGTCAATTTGGCTTTGGTCATTAACACCGTTTTAACTAAGGTGAACATAATTAGGACAATGAAAAGGGCTTCAGAATCACGATTTTTACACTTCAGACACCTCAAAGTTGTTCAGTGGGAGCATAACCTCTGCAGAGAAATACTACCACTGGAAGGGCTTTCAGCAAGAGCAGAGGTTGGTGTTGGCAAAGCGGCTTAAACTGCCCTTTCATGCTTTTATACTGCAGCACACACAGGGTACAAAGAGGGAGACCACCAATTTTCTTAGATTCCTGTTATACCTGGAAAAAAAACCCTGTGACTTAAGGACCGAGTTCCATCCTGAACTGAGTTTCCAGGCCTTTTATTTATTTATTTTTAATCAATTCAGGCTGTTCTTTTTCCATTGTATTACAATGACAAATAAAAAGCAGCTTGAATAAGAACAAAAAGAGTATTACTTCTTAACTTTTCAATAATACATGAAATAAAATACAAATCAACTTCAAAGGCCACTTAGCAAATATTTGATGAGTTTGAGATATTAAAAATCTATTTGAATAAGTCTAATGGCCAGCCCAGCTAAAAAGAAAACAAGACCATTCAGAGCGAGCAGGAAATGAAGTCAACTAGAGTTTTAAAATAAATCTGGCTCAAAAATTAAGCAAATGTTAAAATAAAACCATGTCTGGTTACACTAATTACATAAAAAGGAGTTAAATTACTCATTTCCTAGCTCCTTCTGCCAAGATCATCTTCTTCAAGGGAAATTAAATTTATTTTATTTCTTTTTTCCTAAAGAACAAAAATGTTTTGTACAAAGATCCCCCCGCCCTTGACAGCGAAGTTTCATTTAGCGCTCAATCCCAATCAACATTTCTTGACCAAAAAACCCTACGAACACACCAAACAAAAATAGGCAAACATCCTTATCAATGTTGACATTTCTCACTATGTTAGCCAGTACTCATTATTTTCTTAAAATTTATCAGAGGTCCTCTAAAGCAAAGTAATATTTAATTCCTGAGCAAAGTCTAGATCTTATAGTTCAGGTTGTGTGTCAAATTCTCTGCTCTCCTACATTTACTATTTCAAGAAAAACAAACAGTAAATAAGCACAGTTTGAAATTTATTGAATACTTCAAGAATTACACCTCATATTTGCGGGGCATTACTGAAATGCAGTCATCACTAATAAACTGCTCAGTTTCCACCACAGCCAGATGTGCCAACCTCTGCTTTGTACATGTTTCAGGACTCCATCCTAAGTCGTGCCGAGTTCCTGCAATTGTGAATGATGTCAAAGGGCACTCTTTGGGGACTGGGCAAGGCCACGACAGGATGCCTTCCGTTGGAGCCAATTATTCTGATGTAACACAATTAAGGTTAATCCAAGAAATTCTTTAGCTGACTCACTTTTCAAGCCAAAACTGATCTGCAAGCTTGTTTCACCCAGCGAGGATGAAATATAAAAGCAAATCTTTTTTTCATTTTCCTAATCCAAGTTTATTTCTAACAGGCAGCAAGCATCCTTCAATCAAAATTGCAGGCCAATCATTAGACAATAAATCAAGTCTATATGACATTGAAGTTATACAACTACATTAAACTACAGCAGATCAAGGAATCTTTATTCATTTTGGAGAGTCATTTTCCACTGTCACCTATTTTAATCAAAACTGAGTTGATAAAATATTTCTCATAGCTTAGTTTAAAAGAGAAACAGAGATTTTTATGTACGTTTCAGCACTATCTACATTTGACTGTATCTGGCTTAGCAGTATCGGAAGGTTCCACAAGTCAGAGAACAATTTCGTCACTGCAGTTTCAGTCACCCACTTTACCCCACATCACTAAGACCTAGGGGAAAAAAGTTTTCTTTTGTATGACTAAATTTCAGTCTACCCCCACAACACTGTAAAACTTTCCCCTTAACAACATTCTTTAAATATTAAATATGAGGCAGTATTAAAAAAATTTCTAAAGTATTTATGCATCACTTCCTTCATTACTGAAAGTAACTGTGAACTTGTGTTAGAAACCTGAAGTTGGACATGCGTTTGGAAAGTACCCCCTCCCCAAAAGCCCCCAGACACACGCAGCTTATAGAAAGTAACCAGTTCTTTTTGATGTTTACTGCAGTGGTTCTGAAATTAATATAAATGGATGTGTGACGTGCGAATGGGAGAGCCTGGAACTAATTCTGTTTTATAGAATACAAACCCTTCAGCAATTGGGGTACCTAATTATTTTGATGATAGGTGAAATCTTGCCTTGATCACACAGTACCCAGCTGTGAATCTGTTTTATAACAGAAAATTTCACAGCATGTAACTGGTCTTTAAAATTACGCTGTAAACATGCAAACACATGGCACCACTAAAATAAGCATGTTTTAAAAAGTTCTTTTTCCTTTCAGCATTTTTGAGAAGGGAGGAATGAAAAGGAAGAAAAAGGGAAGTGAGCAATGCTACAAATAGATTTCGTTTACTGTATAATGCTTTTAACATATTTCTGATCTATGAAAAGCTCGACTACATTTTTTTCAGAACAGTTCGCATTTTTCAAGAATCTAAAAGATATGGATTGAGTGATTTCGCTTTTCTTGGGGACTAATCTGAAAGTTGTTTCCTCTTCATTGTTACTTACACTACAGCTGTGCTCAAACTCCTTTTCATTTAGGAAAAAAGTTTAAATTTTGAGCCTGCGCACACTATGGTTCCACATTCCAACAGCTTCCTCCCCGTCCTCTGCCAGCATCTGCTATTGAAGACTAGTTCCAATTTATAATAAACAGCTTTTCCAGACCAGAACACTTGAAATTCAGTCCTTCTTGACTGCTTTTCCCATTCAATCTCCCTATTCACCATTTCAAGGAGAAAACTGTTCTGCCAATTATTACACATCTGGAAAAAATGCATGTATAAGCTGAAATGCTCTCAGCAGAAAGTTTCAACTTTCTGCATATGGTCACAGCAGGATTTTATGGGCCACTGACCAGGCCAAAGTCTAAGTTTTCCCATCTTTCTCCTCCCCCTCATTGCTGCCCACCCCCACCCCAGCCCTCTAATTGGAAACCCACAGCAGGTGCAAGTTGTCTGCCATCTTTTCCTCCACAACAATCTCGAGTAGTTTCTTCTTGATAAATATTACTCATACAGTCCAGTTTTGACTCACTAGGCTCTATGATAATTCAAATGCATCAGCTGTAAGTAATTGCTTTGCATAAATATATACATGTTAAAAAATGTCATTACCATTGATGCTGGTCTGTTGGTTGTTACAAGGCTAGATGCTCCATAATTTGAGTTCAGGCTTCCAATTGGCCCATTGTGGGATGGTCCCAATAAACTATGTATATCTCCATGGCCACCTGATAGGCTTGTTGAAGGCCCCACGGCATGATTTCGTAGTACATGAATGGCATCATCGAGTCTGTCCAAGCGATCCTCCATTCGAGACTGCTGTTGGGATTTAAGAGGCACAGTGACAGTCATTACTGAATAGATCTGCAGACCCATTATACTGTAACAGTTTCTACCTTGGAGATATTAAAGATAGAAGATGAAATGCAGTATCAAAAGACTTTGAAAGCACCTACCAGCACTACAAACAAACAGGAAAAAGAAAAGATATCTGGAGATTTTGCTTGAGATAGCATTCATTCCACAAATAGGTGGCAGCTTTTAAAGTGAAGCTTATTATAAGGTTAATGTTACTCAGCTTCTATTACATGGCATGAACAAGAAAAAAAGGAAGTGCTACAAAATAAGCTATCTAATACAGGACGAGAAAGAATGATCATAAAATCAGCCTCACCACGTTGGTAACAATTAAGAGAGGCAGTGGCTTTTTGAGAACCTGTATTACAAAAAAAACTGGACAAAACTTTAAGTTATCATTTTCTAAAATGGATCTTTAAACAGATTAGATATTTCAGAAATAAAAGCGAGTTCTGTATGTTACTGCAGAAAAGTCTGTCTTAAAATTACTTTCCTTTAAAAAAAGACCACAAAAACCCCAAAGCAAAACCACTTCTGACACTGCAGCTGCCTAGAAACTGAAATAGCAGAATGTTGGAGTCAAAAGATGGGTCATACACTACACTAATTTAAGTTTTTAATGGGGAATCCAAAGGAAGCATTAATTGAAACACAAAAAGGCACCATCTAAAGTGAAATAGTACCTCACAGACATCCTTTAAGAAGGACATTGCATCTTGCAAATGCTCGTGAAGTTGCTGTTCAACTCGATTTTTCTGGCAAAGTCAAGACAGAACAGGAAGCAAAGCACAGGTTAAGATTAATTCAAAAAAGAGGTGAGGAAACAGCTGATGTGCATGTCAGCAATAAATTGTTAGTCAAGTTAATGCAACAGAGATCTGATTATATTAAGATAAGAAAAGGCTAATATTTAACACTGCAGTTATGTTAGGATTCTAAGATGTACATACCAATTATATTTAATTGCAAAAATACTGAAGAAAAGAAAACTGATTTAGCTTAAATTTATTCTTGTTAGACAGAAAAAAAGAAATCACATCTGTGGAAATTAGAAATATTAACAACTTATCAAAACCTTCCCTCAAATTTTTCCCCTTTCCTTCCCAATGCTGCATCAGAAATTTAAATAAGTCAGTAACTTAAATCCTCTGCTGAATCTTCAAAAGAAGAAAATTTACAATGCTGTAGATTATTTCCTGTGTGTTTTTCTGTAAGTTTCATTTATTAAGAAATGAACATTCCCCAAAACCAAATAATAATTACAAATAAAATACATTAAATACTTTAATGACAGTGTAATGAAAACAAGCCCAAGAGACTACTATTTCAGGGAGAGAGGGGGAAGGACAAGTAAATGCGAAGGCATGAAGTCTTTATCTTGTCTCCAGACTGAACTTTAGGTAAGAATTAGCTATGGATTTGTGAAAAGGTACCAGAATCTCGTAACAGCGCTTTAGCACCAGCTGTCCTCAGCACAGAAGCCTGATGCCCAAGGAACAGATGGTGAAAGACACACCCTGCACGTCTTATATTGTTCAACTGAACAGGCCATTTGTTAGCAAAGAATTCATTTGTAATGCTATCCTACTGTTTCCTTTAATGATATGCAGGATTTATACAAAACCAAGCCTTCAACTCTTAAGTAAAAAGTACTGTGTTGCTTTCAACAATTCTTACCAAGGAGTGTAGAGAGTTTTCATAGTTTGGAGATGAGGGGGCTTGTCCTCCACTCCTAGACCACTGACTGGCACCTGTCAAAATTGTCTAGGTTAACGCACAGATTTATGCAGCATCAGTGGGAAGCAGAGACGCAGTATTTCTCAACATAATTAAAACCAATGTATTCTGCATAAAGGTAAGCTAACATATGGGTATACAAAGGAGGATAAATTCCTTCATTCTGCTTTATTGAGGGGTAATTTTTATATCCTGGCATCTGTAGGGTTAGACACATTATCAATGACAAAGCAGTAACATCTTCCAAGTACTTCAACATTAAAAGAGTGGACTAAACACACACACACACACACACACACTGCGTCTGAAATACCTGCTTTCTGCCAGTGTCACCATAAAAAGATTGCTGAATTCTTTCTTCTTCAGATTATGTTCAGTATATGTAGGTATATCTTTAATAGTGTTAAAATATTTAAAGAAATAAAATAGACACTGAATTAAGGATAACTGGAAAACCATTTTTATGAGACCTCTCTACTAAATAAGAAAATTTAAAACTAGATCTATAAGCTTTCTTTTTCTTGTCTAGTGCTACACTATACCATTTTAGATTATAATGCGTTCCAAGTTTAGGAGAGTAAAAATACACCTAAGTTATTCCCATTTCTTATTTCAGATATATTTAAGGTGAATTAGCAGCTAAAGAATCATTGACCATGCAACAAATTGACAATTATAGCCATGTTACCTACACACTGCAAATTCAAATACATATCCATTCTAATCTGACACAAATATACCTAATTACCATGTAAAATTTAGAAATAATTAGATGTGAAATGCAGTAACTAATAAAGCAGTATTTTTAAAACAAAGCCTAAAGTAGTACAACATGTATTTTTCTCACCAACTAATAATGCATCTTTTATAAAGATACTACATGAAATTCTATGTCCATTAGAGACAGCTTCCTTTCAGCCATACAAATGTAATAATAAAGCAATTACATTAATAAATTATGGACATACAATCCAAAGCAGCTCATTAAAGGAAGAGCCTGTGGGCTTGTTCTTTCAATAACAGCCAGAGCTGTACGTCTGGAAAACTGGGAAAAGGTTTAATAACATTACAGTTCCTTTGTTCAGAGAGCTGCAAGTAGTTACCTTTTAAAGACAGGGTTTTATTTACCAAAAGAGTACAGCTTGCATAGCTATTAAAATACCTAAATATTTCCTTTCTAATTAAAAAAAAATAAACCATCTTCAATTTCATAAAAGCCCAGAGCTGCCATAACTGTGGTGGAATTCTCTTTTAAAAATCTAACGACATCAGTGAGTAAGTTTATAATTGCCAATTTTCACTTCACACAGCTACTCTGGGTCTGGATCTGCAGTCTCCCTCTGCATTATTGTCATTCCCAAACTTGGGAATAATGCTTGGAGTCCCACTTATTTTTGCAAAGCATTAATGAAACAGCTTTAGAGTATTTTGGCTCAGTGTAATGTTTAAATTTTTATTTGGTCAAAACTCCATTTTTAGAGACAAGACCACAGTCAAGGCTTTAATGAGTGCTCACTACTAACAAGATTGAGTGTACTACTTCCTACAATAAAGCATCAGCTGAATATTAATAGACTCAATGCCTGTGCATCTCGTCTGAGGGGTTTTTTTAAATGGAAAAGGGCATTATTTCCTTAATGTAAGCCCAGAACAAAACTCTGAATAGGACTTCTCAACAAAGGAAACAAAAAGAAAAGCGGGGAGGGAATACTCAGCTCCTTCTCCTCTCAACCAACCAACCCACCTGCAACCTGCAGTTTTTAATCACACCTCTAGTAATGCTAGTGCTCTTTCTGAGCGTTGGCATACTCTGACTCCATGCCTGCGCAGGTTGCCAGATGGCACTGATTTCCTGCTTTCCTCATTCCACTCCCCCTCTTAGAAGTTCGTGCATGAAATCCACCAATTATGTTAAAAAGCATCCTGGCACCGCAAGCCCTGCAATTAACAACTGCAGCTTTTAGTGCAGCACCAACATAGCAGCATGAAAAAACAAATACGGGAGGCAAGTGTTGGGATTTACAGGGGTCATCGATAGTAATCACTGTAGTATTGTTCTTACTCTCAGAGTCTCCCCAACACTAATCCCCTGGCTCCCCTTTCAAGCACACACTCGCACTGGAGTCGGCAGAGGGCTGGTTTTGCACCCTCAGAACCGACCGAACCCTTCTGAATACCTCTGATCCTGGGAGGAGGATTCTTCAAATACCAAGGCTCCCACCATTCAGATCCGTATATAAACTTCACATACATATACACAATCATTAAAACTATGCAAGAAGCTAAGCTCTGGGCATGTTTATGTAAAATTAGAAATTAAACGAGGGCAGGGAAGATGAGACACGCACTATTGTCTCATAACATTTGGGGGTTTTCATCATGTTGTTTTCAAAGCTTTTACTTAAATTGATAAAAAAAAGTCATTAGTACTTATCCAGTAACCTAACAGCCAAATAGTCAAATGTGAGCTTATATACTTAAGTGTCTCATGACATTGCTATCTCTCAATGCTTTAAATGGCAAATAGAGTGCTCCTACTGTAATTTACAATTAAAGAATAGGTAAATTATGACTTAGTCAAATCTATAACAACAGGAATGCTAAATAAGCAAAGAACTAACTGCAAAAGAGGAAAATCACAATGAAGGCTAAAATACTCCAAAATATATTATTTTAGTATACATAAAACATTTGTTTTATCTGCAATAACTTTTTGGGTCAGGACAGAAAATGGCTACCAGGAGTATAAATAGCAATAAATATAGTAGTAATTACTTTACATTGTGCTTCACTGTGTTCTTAGAGACTCATCTGGGAATAAAGATAAAAGTCCAGATTCATAAATGAAGGTAATTAACTACTGGAGCAATTTACCAAAGGCTTGATAAATTCTGTATCACTGGAATTAAAGGGGGTGGGGTGGGAGGGTGTAATTGTAAAGCAGATGCTAAGTTTGTGCCTGAGAAGGATTTCAGTATTATTTGCTTGTATCTACTACTGTCTTAGCCGTCAGAATCCAGAATAAGGAACACAAAACCACAAATTTTGGAGAGTTTTACATTTGATACAGGTTCCAACAGACAAAGGCATCAAAACAGCAAAGGGAAAGCCCAAATTTTAGGGACCTCAAATTTGTATTCTAAACCCAGAAATTAGCTAGCACTTTCATGCTTACAAAATTAGGTGTGGTATCTAATCAGGGAACTCCAATTGGGATCTTTAAAATTTTAAATACTTGGAAATGTCAGAACTTCTTTCTTCCAGCCACAGAGCTCTTTTCAATATTTGCTTTGATGTTAAAAAGAAAACAGTAATAATTTTCTGCTCTGATCTGTCTTTTCAGTACAACAAGGATACACAAAACATTTTTGTCAACTGTAATCACTAAATCAAAAATCCCATTAATGCCATCGTTACTCAATTCAGTATGTTTTTTTCAGTTATAGAAACAAAATGCCTAAAGCAGCTGCTCAGGTATGCCATGTCAGATATTCATTAATCCATTAAGTCCACAGAAAACCAGAACAGCGTCCATTAAACACGAGTGAAGCATGAATGATGAAAGTTTTGAGTGACGTTGCATATATAGATATGCATATTCACATACATATGTATATGACTGCATTTTGCATGCAACAACTTTACTAATTTATTCATCTAGATTACAGAAGTGTTCAGCTAAGCTCATCCTGTACACCTTTCACTATAAGTTAATTTTATTTTTTGTTTTATAAAAAGCAAAACACTCTTGCAAAAGAGTGACCAACAGCCAGGAGTCTGCAGGGATATATTAAACAACAGAGAATGGGAAAACAGACTGTTGTATAAACGTTAAATTATTTAACAAACTGCACTATAGGAAAGAACAGGGTTAAAGTTACATCATCTTGCTTGTAATTCTAGTTCTTTGTTAAACAACAAATTTAAGTCAATGGAGCTTTCACAGTCCTCTCTATATGGAGAACAGCTGTTCAACTTTTACTAGACAGCTGAGGCCACAGTGTCTGTGAAAGCTGCACTACCCACTAATAGCTGTAGGCAGCTGCCCACAGTTCATCTCCACACTGGAATGCTGCTTCCCACATTCACATTACAAACACACAAAGCACAGGTGACAGAGGTGGCTGCAATACAGAGCATTTATTTCAAAAAATGCCAGAAATTCCTCTCCCATAGAATGAAAGCATTCATGAAAGATATGAATGAAAAGCTATCCTGTGTAAAAATTGGATAGTCTCATAGCCTACTATATTTTCATTAGAGGGAACACACATCTGCTGTGTTTGTCATTGAAAGCTGCCGCAGAGTTTTAACATACAGCTTTAAAAAAAAAACAAAACCCTAACCAAATCACCCTTATTTCTCTCCAATAGTACAGATCTGTTCAGATATCTTTATAGCTGTGACAGTATACGGTCATTCAATGTTTTCAAAGATTATTTTAATAAGCTAATTTTCAAAGCCAGTTGCCAGGATTTAAGCGAATGCTCATAATAAAATACTTAAGAATCTGGGTTTATAAATCTGGGTTTAGTACAATGGAAAAACAAGCAAAATATAGAAGTAATTATGCAAGGAAGCTACCACTGATCTGTGATTCCAAACAGGGTGTTTTCAAAATAACACACAAGTTACTGACAAATGGCTAGTTTCTACCTGTAAGAGGTGATGGTGATCCAACTGGTGTTGACGGATTCGATGGAAAACTACTGCTGGTATGATCAGGAGAATAAATCTAACAACAGACAAAAGAGATCATATATCAATACGCGTCATAATACACGGTTTAAAAAAAAAAGCTATTAGGATTCCTTTTCATGCTTTTAATTGTCACTCTTGATGCTGGACTGATAAAAAAACAATTTGATCCTTCAATCACAGCTCTGCTTTATTACACTCAAGGCTCTAAAAACGTCCAGAGAACTTTCATTTTCAAGCAGCTGTCAAAATAACCACAGCCTGTATTTGATAGCAACACAAGTATAACTGACCTTCCTTCTACTTTAACAGCAGCAGAAATTACCGCCTTTTCATCATTGAAGGGGAACAAGATACGTGAGAGTTAACAGTACGCAGACAATTGTAACAAACAAAGCTTCAGGAAAATGCAGAGGAATAATGACTTCCCAAACTTTAGACAGAGAAAAGGTTTTAGCAGTCATCACATGTTATCTTCCAAAAATTAATCCTTCATAAGAGAAAATACCAAAAAAGCATTCAGCTCTAGTTACTATTGGTACCTGCCAAACAAAAACCATCTGAAATTTTGTTGCTTTTGCTATGTATTGCAGCACACACAATTTTTCTCTCTTATTTCTGTATCAATTGCTCCCTTAAGATACTAAACCTCAACTTGCAACAATTCATTCCTTGCTATTAATGTAATTAAAAGGTCTTGATAAAAACAAAAGACATAATGCTTAAAGCTTTAATTAAATCTTAAAATTTCAAGATTCTTGGAAAACTTGTTTTGTGAAGGGAATTGAATAGGTTTAGAGGCTGACTTAGTCTTTAGAACGTATTTTTACAGGTCATCAGTTCAAACCTGTTTTACTTGAGCAGAGACCAGGATTTGTTAGTCATCAGATGGCAGCTAAAAAATCTTCACTGGCAGTGTGGTTGATGTCTCTTCACACAGACAATATGACGTTTCAGCATTCAGCTGACAATAAACTGGGACTTGGTTAAGTTGCGTATTGTATTTTTTGAACTGACAAAACCGGGACCTGATAGACCACATGCTCCTTCCTGGTCTATCATACTTCTTCATTAGAGAAGACCATCAGTTCCCTAATGAAGTAGCTCCTCCTTTTCATACATACTAGAAAGAAAATATATTTAAAGAACAAACTACCTCAGACCTTTGTAGGACATTCATGCATCATACGTCAGTGTAAAAATAAATCTTGGGTGTCAGCATGGGAACTGTAGACAGTTCCAGACAGATAAGATACAGAAAATTAAAATTATGTCAGAACAAAGGCCGTGAAGTTTCCTTTGAAACTGGCTGTTTTCCACCAGTCTACCTGGCGACTTTATTTTGCTATAAGAGGGAAAACCTGCATTATACCAAAGCCACAAGTAAAACACGAGGTCAGAATTCATTCTGCATGCAGTCCTTGGCCGATGTGCTGTTAAATGACCAATGATGAACAACCCTGACACCTTCTGCCAGGCTTAAACGGTAACATGACTCATTTTACTGCAACAAATGAGACTCCTCCTCCTATCAGTCATGGTCCATTCCAATCAGCGGGGTGCCAATATGCCAGGGTCTAATGAAAAGGCTCTTAGACAAAAGCTGCACAATTGAGGGCCTGCAGAGCCAAACCTCGGAGCTGTTAGTCCAATTTTTTAAACACTACAGTGTACATTTCAGTTAGGCTTTGTTATGTTAATGTTATTGAGTCTAAAGCAACAAAGAAACTTAATTCATGAATTACTTTTAGAAGTCAACTTCCCTACATTTTCTTTTCTTTTGTGAGGGGACCAGTGGCTATTTAACTACTGAGACCATACAAAGGCCTTTACCCTAGTTCTGAGGTAGGAATCAAAACATAAGTTATCACAAAGAGGTCTGATATAATCAACAGTTAAACAGTCCTCCTGTTTGATCTCCTCTAAATTAAAGACCAAGTGTTTTGATTTGGCATTAGGCAATGAAATAAACCAGATGTTTCTCCTGCCATATAACCCTCCATGGGCACAATCTTAAAGGGTTATTGTTTGGCAAATGTTCAGGGAAACACATTAGAAATGGCACGAATACCCAGATTTTCTTTTCTTTCTATCTATACTAGTTCATTATCCAAACTAATGCATAATCCACAGGGCTTTGGGAACTTTGTGTAAATACTTTCATGCACAATTCTCTTTCTTGCCTACCCTGAGATTAAGACCACAATTATCCAGGCTTAAACCTAAAATAAAAGAACCTTTGCAAATGTATTATCTGGCCTTACATGTTTAATCACATACTATTCTGTATGGTCTTTAATACCTAAACTGAAGAACAAATGTCGTATTCTCTGATGTTTCGCACATGAAAGGCCTATTGTGAGATGTACATCAACAGAATTTTAGAACTAGAAATTCCTCTCAACAGTTGCAGCGGTAGCGTTTAAAATCCTAACAGAAAGTCATACGGCGTCGTCTTAGGAAAAAAAAAGTCAAGACAATTGCAGGATTTAAATAAAACTTTGTTCAAACAGAAAAATACTCTTGGTTTACTAGCCATCAAAATTCATGTGCACTAGCTTCACCTGCAGGAGAGCCCACCTCCCTCCTCTCCACAACCGTGAGCGGTGCTCCTTGCCGAACAAGCGCAAGAAGTGTGCTGGGTGCACGCGTGTTGCAGGGTGCGGGGGAAGCAGATGGATGAGGCGAGGGATTTGAAGTGTGCAGACTATGGCATGCACTGATAGAGCAGATGGAATGCATCACCATCAGCTATGACAGAAATGATTTATGGAATGACCTGGCTGCTCCTGCCAAGCAACAACACAGGATGACAGAAACAAGTTTCTATGACAACCAGAGCCCACCCACCAGTTAGATTAAACATTTCTGCCCTGACTTCCACTCGCAATATATTTAGCATTTTTCCTCAAAACATCAGCCTGGTTTTCTCAGCTAGTGACTGGGGCAAAAATACCTGAAAGGATGAGAAAATAATTTTAAAAAGGAGAGCAGTGGAAAGAAAACGTCACAAAGTCCTGCAGGTCTAACTGGCCAGCATGACAGACTTAACAGAAATTTTGGTCAGGCTGCAGAACAGCAGACATCCTAATACATCTGCAAAGTAATGAACAGCTTGAAGTATGTAAGCATTGCTATTTCTAGGAGTCGAAATGATCCCCGTTCTTTTCTGACAGGTCCTGAACAGACAAAAAGTGTTAACTGCCCTCTGGACTCTGAATTGTTATCTATTTGCTGAATCCCCAAAAGCAACAGGGACAACATTTTTCTTCTCAAAGCCAGTAGGTCAGAGTTCTCCTACCCAATATGGACATTACAGACATTATCAGATCTGGTAATCTTTTAACATATGACCCTCCGGGGGTTGCAAGGGTAACAGGATCTGCATGAATATGCACATTTGCATTCACTGGTATGAGGTGAGGGATGCAGAATCCAACCCAGGAATGGTCTTTTGGGGCTGCAAAGTAGTCATTTCTATCTTTTGAATGAGACTTAGTCTCCCTATTTGCTATGTACAAGAAATACAAAGTAATCCCCCAGCCACCATTCCTAACTCTGAAATTTCTGCTATACTGTATCAATTACTGTTTTATAAAAAGTACATCTGATTGTATTAATGCAAAAATAATTGCTGTATGCATGCATATGTAAACAGAGCTTTTAGTAGACTTAAGATACTTGCAATGTTTTACATTACCTACATTATTCCAACAAGAGTTAAGAGTTTAAACTTTACGCATATACGACATTTTAAAGGCTGTTCCATAAATTACAGCTATACAACACTGCATTCAAAACCTCTCAGTTTTATAAGGCCACTGAGAAAACATTTTAAACCCCGAGGCAGGATCTGCTCCAAGAGTAATGTTAAAAATATTTTACTTTAACTAGAACACGGGGGGGGGGGGGAGCCGGGGGGGGAGGGACACCA